CAACCGCATCCTGGCGAATATAAGCGTGTTTCTCAAATTCTTGGTGATCACGTTCAGCTATTGATGTACTACGTTTAAATTTAGCTTGTATAATTTTTACGCCATGACTAAGTAATAAATCTCTACACTCGCCTAAGTATTCAGTGCCTTTATTCACAATTAAAACTTTTGGCCATGTAAGATGATTACTAGAATCTCCATAAATTGCTTTAAACATTTTAGCTAATGATGCAGAAGACTTATTAGTTAAAGCGCAACTTTTACGAAATCTAGTTACAACATCTTTTATAATACCTCTATGTATGAAAATTCGATTATCAATTTTATCATGAGAAAGAAGTGTAAGATCTGATTTATGTACTTTATTTAAATCTCATATGCCATTAAACGAAGCATATTGAATAAATTTAAGCCTGGATTTATGAGTTAAAAAAGTAATTCGTTCATTTAACCAGTCTTTGATCTGAGTTAACGAAAATTTATATCCAGCTTTTTTACAGGCATTATACATTTTTTCAGCAGTTCGATAATAGCCTTCAGGCCAGTAATATAGTTTCTGCATTGCAATCTCCTTATCTAAATCATGGGCCTTCTGTGAGTCAATATAAATTACAGGTTCTCTCATTGTTTTGATTTATTATAAATAACAAAAATTCGTCATGGATGAATTAATATAAACGAACCAGGAACTTCATGAGGAAATTAACCGATTGGCTCAATCAAATAGAGATTATGAACATTGAACATACAACCTTGAACGGGATATAGTTTTACATGAAGAAAGAATCTGATATCTCAAGGAAGAGCTAGCGAATACAATCGAACTTTCAATACAAGAAAGGGAGGAATTGGAAAAAGAGATATCAGACTTAAAAAAAATTGTCTATAAGCTCAAAAAAGAAATCGAGCAAAAGGACAAGGAACTCATCACTAGGGAAAATCAACTAGCGGAATTTGATGTAAGGGAAAAAAAGTTGAAAACCAGAATTCGGGAAATATTCAAATCAGCTGGAAATACACCTAGAACATATAACCAAACAGCAAAGTTAATAGATGAGAATAAACGCCTCAAACATGAGATCGATATTTTAAAATATAATCTTAGAGATCAAGACAAAAAATTAGCTCAGCAAAAAAGTTGTATCACTGATTTACATTGCCAAAATTTTGATATAAGATTATTACATTATCAGGATAAATTAGAACTTAACAATACCCAAGAAACTTTGCGCGTTACTGAGGCATGGAATATAAGTAATGATTCAAATTCAGAAGATTCTGTTAAAAATTCTCAGGATAGATATACTTCTGATTCAGATATGGCAACAATTTCAGAATTAGCTGATGCTATAGATGACTATTTAAACATTCCAGGAACGAATAGGGAAATTCTAAAAAATCAAATAAAAAGAGCTACAGGAGAGATTCGTCATAATTATACAAATCTCCAAACTACTCAAATAAATAAGTAACAGGCCAGATACAATGCTGAAGCAGAGTGGGATTTGCAACAAACCGATTTAGATAATGCCCTGAATGATCTTAATTTGATGACAACGGCATATAACAATGAAAGAAATACACGTTAGCAATATTTTTTAGAATTACAACAATGTCGTATCAGAATAGGTAGATACAAGGACGATTTATTGTTATGTGATATCCAGCTTGATCTGAAATAGGGTAAGTGGAAAAATAGAACTCGAAATGCTAAGCAATTAATTTTAAATTTACAGGGACAAATTTTATTGCTACAGAATAATCGTCAAAATAGAATGATAGTAGGTAATCCATATCCAACATATTCAGGTAAAGAAGATATACATGAATTTTTCACACAATTAAGAGCAGAAATAGAAGGAAGAGGAATTGATGTTGCAGATGCAGTTGGTGGACCTCCAACTGGAAGGGATCATGCAAAAGGAATATTACGTGGATGTATGAGAGGACCAATGTTAGAATGGTATGATGAAATATTACCACTAAACAAAATTTCGAATTACATAACTTACTCGATAATACAGCACAAGGTACAATACAATTAGTAGTCGGACATACTGTAGTACAATTGGACGCACAAGCACTTCGAGAAGCAAATGGTCGTGCTGGTACAGATATTATTCCATTGAGAGCAACATATGATCCTTGGAATGAAGATTGGAGTATTGCAGATGAACGTCCAACTAATGATGCAGTTAATACACATAATGCTAATAACAGTACTCCAGTTGTTGTAGTGGGAATAAGATTTGATCAAGCTGTATGGTTGATAAAGGAAAAATCTCCTACAGTCGAAGAAGAAATGCAAGCGTTACAATATGGAACATTAACACAAGGAGATAGTACTATAGAAGAATTTGCTAGTAAAATCCGAAGAGCTGGAAGAGGTTACAGAGACGAAGAGTTATGAAGAAAATTTCTTGATGGATTAGCACCTGAATGGTTAGAAAAAGCTGAAGATATAGGTAAGGATATGACTTTTAACGAATTGTCTAAAAAACTTACAAAGATTGAATTAATCAGAATGGCTAGAGCAAAAAGAAATAATATTAAATCTCGAGAATCGAAACAGATATCTTCAAAATCTACAGCATCTTCAAATATAGTTTCACAATTACCATCTCAAGACTTTCAAAAAATGTTTCAGGACGAATTAGCAAAACGAGATGCCAAATATGAGGCTGATATAGCAAAACGGGATGCTGAAATGAAAAAATTGAAAGCTGATTTTGATACAAAAATGAGCCAATAATCTAAAATTCAACCCACTCAATCAATAGATCAGCCACTTGCATTATCACCTGGTCGTGAATATAGAAGAGACGAGTATTATACAAATAAATTTATGGATGATAATGAAAGAGGACGAGATTTTAATTGGGGTGGTGATCTAAATAATACGTTTTCACTATTACCTAAGCATATTCAGAATCAATTAGCTAGAATAAAAAATTAGAAAATGATATCAATATACTTTGGGGAAGTACAAATGAAACTCGGAATACAGTAAATCAGATGACTAATCGATTTAAAAATTTATCAAAGGGTGACCACACAACCACGGTTAAATCAAATCGAACAGGTTTTGTACCGCTTGAATCTATTTTCAATAATGATGATGAAAATGAAGAAGATAAAATATGGTACGAACCTGAAAAAAAAATGAATATCAGTAGTAGGTTCTAAGAGCCACGACCCTTAGATAAAACGGTAGACTCGAAGAGCCATAACCCCGCAATAGTCGATTCACCAGTGACTACTTTTGGCAAACTTTTTCCAAAATCAGACGATCAACTATTGAAATTATTATCCCGGCAATGCGAGATAAAATTATGAACCCCTCTTCAGAAAATAAGTGAGTTAATTCAGTTGAATATATATAATACAAGATCGAAAATATTGATATTCCGGAAGGGGGGCTTGATACATTATCTATGTGTACTGTTATGAATAAAGCATTAAATAATGCATTAGGATGAGACCTTGGAAATGCACCAAATATCACCCTCACGCATAATTCTGATCATATAACCAAATTAATTGGCGGGCATAGGGATGTCCCAATTTCGGTAAAATATAAAGATGAGATAATTACAGTAACAGGTAATGTTGTAGTTATTGATGACAGAAAAACTGATTATTTTCTTTGTATAGGAATGCCATGGATCCAAAAAGTTAAAGAAATTCCAGATATAAATAAACATGAATTTCAAATGACAGTTCGTAGTAAGTTTTATGTTATTCCAACATTTACAAAACCAACTGAAGATATTAGCATGGACCAACCTTCAAGTAAGATATCAAGCTGTTGTACTAGTGTAATACAAGATACCACACAGGATACAGAGACTTCAGAACCATTAGAAGAAGAATGACATGCACCAGAAGGTTTTAAACTGTCAGATTCTGTTACTACAAAAGAGATAAAAAAAATGTGTAAATTCTGACAAACAAGATGACTTCTTTCTCATACTAGAATTTCATTCCAAGATTCATATTATATCAGGTATGAATGATGTAGAAAATAAAGTAACTATTAAAAAGGAATTTATTAGAGTCCTTGATTATGCAGAATATCTTAAAAAGGAATTGATATGATTTCAAGATTCATTTTGAAGTTGTTTTTTATATTCACACAATTTTTCCATTCTGGTTTGCTCATCACTATTTGGTATTGATGAGGTAGAACGATATATAGTTTTCGATTCTGATAGATCTCCACCTTTAGATAATTCTGCAATAGGACTTGACTTATCGATCTTTTTTCTGTTAAGTTTTTTTGATACAAGTTTACTCGAAGAAATTACTTGCTCAGGATTTATAGCACCTGATGAACTATGTTTGGGTACGATTTCTGGTTGAGATATCAGTGGAGCTGGCATGGCCAAGATAGATAGGGCAATAGATGTTATTTCTATTTTAGGCAGTTGTGGATATATCTGACCATTTACAATATCATCATATCTTTCACTACTGATTCTATAATGACTACACATATCACGTTTTCTATTAGGTATTTTTCCTACATGAGTATCTCTTATTTTTTCGATTGCTTCGGGAGTTAATGGGGTAGCATTAGAATTGACATATGTTCGGACTCGATATTTAGTATTAGACTTAACCATTTTAAAAATATATAAAAAAATATTTGATTTAAATTCAAATAAATATCAGGTAATAATCAAGTAAAGACTGGAGAATAATTGGATAAAATCTAGACAAAACCAAATAATAATCAGGTAAAAACTGGGGGAATAATCGGATAAAATCTGGACAAAAACCAGATAATAATTAGATATTGTTGATTGCGGGTTCATTTTCACTTGTAAAAAGCATTCGCATATAAAATAACGCACTTTCATAAACCGATTGATTACCAATTTTTTACCAGTTTCTTTTTTATATAAAACTAATTAATAACCAGTTAATAATCAATTCTTATCTAGATTCCTTTTATATAAATTAGTAAACATTATTTTTTGATTATATGACATCAGTACATACCTTATATAGTGAACCCATCAATGCAAAAAAATTTCAAGGGTGTGGATATAAATTAGATAGTACTAGAGAATGCGAACTTAAATCTCAACGCAATGAGTTACTTCTTGAAACTGAATTTTTTGCTAATAAATGTTCCGAATTTAGAAATGCTAAATCTCTTGCAGAAGCGAGATCTGATGTTCTTACTAAGGAGCTGGAGAAGAAAAATAACAAGATTTTAAATCTCCAGAAAAAATTAAATCGTTGTATTGATGTCAAAAATCAATATGACTTGATTAATAAATAACTTAAAGAAGAAATTAAACAATTGAAAAGCAAAAATACCAATCTTACGGAATATAAAACTGGGTATCATAATAAACTAGAAGAAGCGAATATATTGGAAGGTAAGTTAACTTCAGCTCAAAAAGATTCATCGAAAAAAAAATCTGAGATACTGTCCCTTAAATCTAAAATAACTGAAGTGGAACGGGAGTTAACTTTAATGATTATTGAGTTTGAGCGTCTGAAATCGGAGGATATGTCAGTATCTATTGTTGGTGAAAATGACGAAAAAAATGTAATCAAGTCTGATAATATCTCTGTAATTAGTGAACCTATCAAAGATCTTAGGCCATATCTAGTACGCAGAAAAAATATAGATCAAGTGGCACATAGTGCCAAATCTCTGATTCGTGAAAAAATCAATGAAAATATCTCAGCTTATATCGATAATCCTATACCCAAGTTACCAAAAGTCGACACTGTGGCAAGTAGTTTAATGACATCACTGCTAACATATATATTACTTTTCTTGATAATTATTGCTGTTATATGATTTGTGGTATTTAGACGCGAATTGAGTATAGGCAAAAAAAGTGATCAGTTGCGAGATATGTGGATCAGGTAACTGCATATTAAAGATGTGACATAGCCATGAGTCTTTGACTCTTATTTATTGTCGGAGGTGACTAAAGGTTTATCCTATTAATATTGAATTGATAATGGATCGTCAGCTGATCTTCGGATATCAATAATTACATAATGCTTTTTTATTACTTCATAAACTTTTTTTGCTAAAGATTCATAATCATCATACATATCTTTAAGAATTTGTTTTATAGTTTCTAATGTACAACCACGATGTAATGAAATATAGGTTAAATTTGCACGTATATTGGGGTGAGTTTCAAAATAACGTTGTGCAATGTAAATCGAACTTATTTTCTCATGCTTATCACTCCTAAAAAATGGTATAATTTTTTGCTGAATTGATAGAGGTTCACTAGCAAGATCATCAAATACTATAACAGTTTTCTGACCTGTATTTTTAAATTTTGAGATATTAGGTATTTTCTCTGGACCAATTAATTTGAATTGAACATTTTCATACCATGGGCAATTTTTATCTCTAGCTATAAATTCATAAAAGTATTGTACCGTTTTTCATAACACCTCATCTTGATGTTGTGCAATAATGACTAAATCATCACAAAGAATATATCTTTCTCCATAGTTTTTGTTTTTTGGTGCTTTATCTTTATCTTTATTACCAATCATATATGGATATACTTTTATATATTTACTATCAAGAAATTGATGTCCAAACATTTCCGTTTTTCCTGATTCACTGGTTTCACTAGCTAATATTCGAAATGGTTGTTTTGGGGCATATGAATTTTTTGAAGATATAGATTTATCTGAATTACGAAAACTGTAATGTTCCATATTTAGAATAGATAATTAATTTTCATGTATATATATATATTCCAGTAAAATAAAAAATATAACTAGTACTTTAAAACTAGATGAATAAAGTGCGATATTAGAGATATAAATCATTTCAAGTTTTCTAATGCTTATATAAACATGACCTATCCTCTTATTATCCCAGAGTTACTTGAAAATATATTTGGTTTCTTAGCCAAGGATAAAGCGCTCTACTCTACTTTATTCGTCAATCACCTTTGGTATCATTGCAGTGCATCATTTTTATGGAGACGCATTGAGTTTTCTATAGAAGATAATCGGCAAAACCAACATGGTAAAAATAAACCTGGGCCTCTTTATTGGTGATTGATGAAGTTTAAAAGAGTTATATGTGGAAAGACAAACTCTCTCTATTGCTCAAAGATGGTATATCTCAAATTGGCAGGTTTAAAAATCTCAGATGCATTACTCAGTGCAATCCTGCGTTCATGCCTGAATATAAACTTTCTCATTCTTGATCAAAGTTATGGTTTTAGTAATATACCAATTATAGAAATTGCAAAATATTGTCCGAAACTACTGCATCTGAGTCTTGATGCATGTAAAGCCATTACTAATAGATGCATTAGTGAAATAGTGCGATCTTGCCCAAAATTAGAATATATATGCCTCGCTTCCTTATGTAGTCTAAACGTTACTGGTGCATCTGTGATTGAAATAGCACAATTTTGTCCCAATCTAATATATTTAAACCTCTCTTTCCAACATCATATCAAAGATGTATCATTTTGTGCAATTGCACGCTCATGTATAAAACTTCAACACCTGAACTTGTCTTTCAATTACTATATTACAGATGATGCTGTGTGTGATATAGTCCATTCGTGCCCAAATATTCAATATCTTATTTTTCAATGTACTTATATTACTGATAAAACAATATACGATATTGCGCATTATTGTTCTAATTTGCTAGTTCTCGATGTGGGAGACTGCTGGCATATCTCCAAAGAATCAATTCACTTCCTATTAAGTAAAAACCCAACATTAAATATAATATTAGATAAGCGAAAACCCAACATTAGATATAATATTAGATAAGTAAAATAAGCAATAATGTCGTCGACACATAATTATTTTTCAGTTATACTAAAACATCTATTAATAAGTAGATCTCGATTTCAAAGATGCAAGTTTTAATTCCATATCTTGCAATTTCAATTTCTGTTGTTCGATTTCACAGCATAATTTATTATTAACACTATCCCGCTCCTCAAGCTGTTTAGTAATTTCTTGTATAAAAGAGTCATTGTATTCAAGCAATTGTCGAGATAAATTAACCAACTCTTTTTTAACACGACAGTTAATCTCCTCCTCATGATCGCACATTTTAAAGATAAAATAATTATTAAGAATTACAGTTTTATAAATTATCAATGGTTCAAAAATTATCTTTAAATAATGCAATACAAATAGCTGAGTCTCGTGAAGGCCAATGTCTTTCTAAATCCTATATTAATTGTAAAGAGCTATTGCATTGGCGTTGCAATAAACAACATGAATGGTTTGCAAATCTTAACAATATAAAAAATAATCGAAGATGGTGTCCATGGTGTGCAAAAGTAGGTCGATATACTCTTAAAGATGTAATACAATTTGCGCAGACTAAAAATGGAGAATGTCTTTCTGAAAAATTTAACAAAGTTACTGAGCAATTACGATGGAAATGTTCTAAAGGTCATATATGGTCTGCAACTTTTAATAGTATAAAAAATAAAAATTCCTGGTGTCCAATATGTAATGTAGGTCGAAATACTCTTGAAGATATGCGAGTCTATGCCCAAGAAAAAGGTGGAGAATGCCTTTCTAATCAATATTATAATGCGTCTACAAAACTTCTCTGGTCATGCAAAAAACAACATCAATGGAAAACTACTCCTAACTGTATTTTAAAAGGGCGTTGGTGTCCCTTCTGTTCTAAATATAAACGGGAAAATTTGTGTCGAGAAATAGTGTCAAAATATCTTGGACCCCCATCTAAGATACGTCAACCTGAATTTCTCAAAACTTCAAAACATCCAATTGGATTACATCTTGATATCTATTATCCGCAATATGGTTTTGCAATTGAAGTACAAGGAGAACAACATAAGCATTACATTAAGCATTTTCATCGAACTTTAGAAGGTTTTAATAATCAATTGATTCGAGATCAACTCAAGAAAGAATTATGTGAAGAAAACTGGATCGTTTTAAGGTATGTCTGGTACTACGAAGACCCATATATAGTTATTCCAGAGCATCTGCGAGAATTGGGTCTCATTGAATAAAAATAAAACTTTAATTATATTTGTTTGAAAAATTACATGACTGTGCGACAAGAAAAAATTATTACATTTTTTATATATATCATGATTTGCGCACAATACATCCAGTAAACGTTAACACATAGGAAAAAATGCTTAGTAAGATAATTAAAAGATAAACCCAACAGTGTCAACCCACATGATACGCTAAAAAAAACTTGCTAAAACCAAGGCTATAAAATTGTGTGAAGTAGTATGACATTCCCTAGTGAATGTTAAATGCTCGTGCGACGGCACGTTGAGCAAAGTAGAAATCCAGTGGAATAGGATCAGGAAGATTTTGAGGGATTCGGGTAGGAGGCTTCAACTCATGATAAAGACAGCTTAATGATATGTTAATGATGCATTGACCTTGATTAATATTTGTTGCAGTTCCCGTGCCATCTTGGGTTCCAAATTCAAACTAATAATCATTATACATACATTAGAGATTTTTAAAATGTTAACAGAAAAGCGAATCACTATAGTCTAACATTACCATAGTTACAAGAGGAACTATATTTCTTGTTCCTCTACCTGCTGAGACACAGTAATGCCAAGCCTACAATAAATTAAAATCTTAGAATGTTATACAAATAATATGATTGCTATGCTGTATAAATATAACTTACCCTCATACGGACTGGTACTTGGCCTTGGGGAACCGGATCGATTTTTACAATAATACAATCATGGGCGCGACAAGGACTTAACCAGTAGTGCAACGCTTCTTCGACGTGATCTAATGTTTCGGTATAAGCCACCTCTACAACTAAATTTGGCCAAGGAAAATCCTAAATAAAAAAGTATATTGAATTATTAGCTTTAAAGAATTCAAAACCAATAAAAGTACAGAAAGTACATTTCTATCACTCCCATTTGGTGGAGTTACAGCTGGTTTTTTGGGCGAAACGATGCATCGGCTTCTTTTCCACGGTTTCTGTCACGTGTTCCTTTAAGAAATAAAAATTAATGAACGCACAAACAGAGCAATATGTTATAACATTAATACTTACTAGTAGCACCAAAACTATAAATCTCAGTATTGGTAAAAGCAACTGCATTGCATTGGTACAATAACATCCTAGTAACTGCACCAATAATAACTTCGTGTGGCATAGAAGGAAGTTCATAGATTATGACTTCTCCGTTTGACCACTCCCAACATCCGTGAATATTAAACTTTTCTGTACGTTGTTCATATTCCTCTATGGCGACGCCCGTAGCAATTACATATGGCAGGCTTAATATAAACAATTTATATCAGCAACTGACTCAAAAAATACCAGCATCAAACAGAAAAACTTACGTTGCTTCATCCCATCTCGCTTTTTCATTAAATTCCCCCTTTTCCCACCACAAGTTTCGATAATAGTTGCAGTCTGACATTTTTTTGGAACCGCATCAGTACTATCCCTAAGAATATTTCCGAAAAGTTAGCGAAAATAAGGAGTAAAAATTGCACAAATTTACTTACTCAGTGGCTACAGAGCTTGCACTTGTACTTGACCTTGTTTTTGTTGAACTAAAGCTACTAAAGCTACTGAAACTGGTATTTGCATTACCGGTATAAAGTGACATTTTGATGTTTTTGGAAAGATGGTTTACAATTAATGATGTTTTTGGAAGGATAAAGATCACAGTAAACTAGTAAATTTTGCGTCACAATTATTATTCCCTCGTGACCAAACCAATATGATGTAAAAATGAGAGAATCATGTTTTAATGATGACTCAAAAATTATCAAACAAAGTAAAAAATGTTACCAGCCCTTAGGGATAATGAAATAAATAAATAAGTTATACATTAATAAATAGATATATTAATCAAATAAATAGATGTATATGTATTGTATATTGTTAACTTGGCACATCTCTTCTTGAACCATTCATAATAATTTATAGTTGAGACCATCGGGCTTATACATAATCTCAATCCATTTCCATTGTATTATTGTACATGCTCAGATCTTTTTACCAACCTCTCTTGCACATTCGACCTTTTTGATAACATTCTGCATCCATAATCCATATCGATGCAATGTATACTCTATATCGAAATTATATTCTGAAATTGATTTTTGTTTGATTTTCAAGTACTCATTGTGATTTACACCACAGTATTGATTACTGGTGCATAAAGAACTCCAATGTCACTCCATTCCTATATGGTTATAATTTCCTATATTTTTGGTTCGTTTCCCTGTATATACCAATTGATCACAAAAGAAGCAGTAGCAATTCCAATTGCAGATGCATATCTTGTATGAAATCCACTAACATATATTAACTTCCTAGCTTTGAGATATTTTTTACTATTATAAGGTAATAGATCATTCTCTTTGAAATATGTAAGATGTTCCCAAATCCGTTTTATCTACTTACTAGGAGTTTCATCAGTACGAACTTGAAGCATCTTTATATTTTCCATCCATTTTTCATCAGTACAGGGGGTTCCACGTAATTCACTTAAGGTAGCCATTTTATGTCCTATTTGTAGTGTTTATAGAAATCATATGATTTGTATTGAATTTAAGGATTTAGACCTATTAGATTTAATAACTATATATTCTAGAATATACAATTCAATTTTTGTTAATTTAGCATTTTAGTGTATAAGGGGTCAGAATCAAGACTATCTACTATGAGAACATTGTTAATCTTTCTAGCTCATTATCTTTTAGTTTTTTAGTATCTAACTCAGATAGAAACACTCTATTACTCAGATCCAATTCAAAATTATTTTCTATACATCAGAATCACATATGTTGAATAATAAATTTTACATATATTGTAAATATGATAGGTATGAAGTATTTGACTTATAGAATCAATTATCTGATAATTTAAACAATTTCTTTACTGTTTAGTTACGAAGTGTTTGCCAAAGACAAGAGATAAATAAGATACATATTTGTTGCAATAAAATTTATATATGTCTTGACATTAACCCTGTTATTATTTTTTTAATGTAGTTGAGTATAGAAAAGTAAAGTTTCTCAAGTCCAGGCATTGGTATTTATATGTGTTTTGACATTAACTCTGTTATAAAAATCACTTGTATAGATATTATCCTATTATGAATGATTACTTATGACAATTGACAGAGCATATAAAATCAGCAATGATCCAACTGTGATTGTCACATGAAAACAAATCTATTTCAGGTGTATGGATTCTATTTTCAAATATAAGTATCAAAACCTGTTTTATAAATTATACTGATAAATAGTTGTGAGATTTTTTATATAAGCAAATATTAATAATAAAATATTTTTAACTATAATTACTAACATATAATTTTCTTGTAATATATTCACAGTTTATAATAACTTGTGTGACTTGACATTTTCACTAAAATAATTAACCTATCATATGATATGTGTGTCATAGAAAACATAGAACAAGTTACAATTTTGATCATAATGTTGCACAAATATTTATATTAGATTTATAATAGCATTTAATTGATTTACAATCATTTATATAACTAGTCACCAAAATGACTTGTTAATAGATGACAAAAATTTACAATTATATTTGTCAAAGCTGTCTCTTCATTACTTTTATTTAGATCCAATTAGATTCAATATTTGAGAAAGTTTATTTAGAAGAGTATTTTTTATAGTAATAAATTAAAAATAAACTATTTTAGCATTATAAATAATATTTAATATTTTAAGTTTTTATTAAAATTATTTATTCTATATTTTTAAAATTGTTTATTCTATATTTTTTAAAATTGTTTATTTTATATTAACTTCTTTTTAATTTATTATTAATTTCAATTTAGTATTATTTCTTGTTAAATGACCTTGTGAATTAATAATTTTTTCTTAAGGTAACTAATTTAAATTCTTTTTTTTTTTATTCACATAATTTACTTTAAAGTTTTTTTTTTCTATTAATTAAAATTAGTTAAATTTAATATTTAGTATAAATTTTATTAATTTGTAGATATTAAATATAAATATTTAGTAAAATAATATATAAATCAAAGAGGAAATAAAATATTTAAATATATAATAATATAGATAATTCACAAAAATATAAATAAATTAATTAATTATTAAATTTTTTTTTATATATGTTATTTTAAAATTATTAATAAATGGAATTAAGATATTACAAAAAATATTTAATATCAATTTGAATAATTTGAATATAAATTTTTTAAAGTTTGATTAACTAAAGAAATAATTAAAATAATAAAAGTTTTCTTTCATTCATTTTTATCACGTGATATTTAACAATATATATTAACTAATAAAAACAAACTTGACTTATACTGTCATAGATAAAGATGGCATCTACAATTATGAATTGAGGATTATAGTATTACTACCTGTATCACAATTATTGAGAATTTTAATGATAAAAAATCTGCAATTCCGTAATTCGCAATTATCTGTAATTCCTCAATTATTCTACAATTCCTCAATTATTCTGTAATTCCTCAATTATTTCTCAATTCCTTAATTATTCCACAATTCCATAATTATTTTTCAATTCTTCAATTATTTTGCAATTCCTCAATTATTCTGCAATTCCATAATTATTCTATAATTATTTCACAATTTCATAATTATTTAACAATTCTACAATTATATCACAAGTCTGCAATTATTCTACAAGTTTATAATTATTTCACAAGTTAATAATTATTTTGCAAGTCTGGAGAAGAATACTATACAAAAATAGGGAGAGAAAAGGAAGAGAGAAAGAGAGAAAAGAAAGAGAGAGAGAAAGAGAACAGGAAGAGAAGAGAAAAAGAAAAAGATCTTTAATTATATATTTACAAAGTCGATTTTGACGATTTTGACTTCTTACGAACTAACAAAATGTGAGAAAAAAAGATAAAAACAAGGACAAAATAAGCATAAGAGTTTTATTTTTTTTAAAAAAAAAACTCACTTTTAATATGTCTGTAAAGTTGATTTCGATGATTTTGACTTCTACAGGTATTCCCATGAACTATACTTGCACGTAAAATTATTTTGGGGCTCCGAAATTACAATTTCAGGGAAAAAAGTCGAAATAGTTTTTCATAGAAGACGAAATTATTTTACTTAAAACCCGAAATTTTTTGACCACCCAGATTTATTCTTTGATTAAAGATACATATAACTAGGTACTTTTTTTACTTCCATATATAAAATAGATTTTGCATAAATCTCAAAAAGTTGAAATACCTCAAAAATCTAAAATCAATTTTGGGAACATGTATACCATGAACTAGCTAAAAGTGAAGGAAAGAAAGGTAAAGACAAGAACAAGGTAAGTATAAAGTTTTATTTTTTTTTAAAAAAAAAAGAAAAGAAAAAAAAACTCACCTTTAATTGTATATTCACAAAGTCAATTTTAATAATTTCAACTTTCACAGATGTTCTCATGAACTAGTGAAAGTCAAGAAAAAGAAAAATAAAAACAAAAATAAGATAAGTATAAGGTTTTATTATTTTTTTTAAAAAAAAAAAGAAAAAAAACTTATCTTTAACCGTACATCCGTAAAGTCAATTTTGATAATTTCAACTTTCACGGATATTTCCACAAGCCAATAAAAGGTAAGGAGAAGAAAGATAAAAGTAAAGACAAGGTAAGTATAGATTTTTTTATTTTTTTTAAAAAAAAAAAACTTATCTTTAATCATTGTTACTATTTTTTTTTATTTTCGTTATCATAGTTGTATTTTTACTCTCGTTCCTATCTGTCATATCCTATTACCTTTAATTTTCATCTATATAATCTTTCTTTTATTTGTCATCACCTCCTTCTTCTTCTCTTTCTCTTTTCTTAAGATTACTTAGCAATACTTATTACTACTTACCTTTACTTATCCACTTACCTTATATTATCTACTTCATTTTCGTCCTCTCCACCATTCCCTTTGTCCCAAACTCATTCTAAAAATCTTAATTCTTTCTTTTCTTTTTCACCAATATTTATAATTTCTTTCAGCTACACCAGTTACGTGCCATGTGACTTCTGATATATTGCAAATTGCGGATGCTACAGTCTATACGTGTTGCCCAAATCCCAAATCATTTGGGATTTGGGATGCCAAAATCCCAAATTACTAGTATTTGGGATTTGGGATTTGAGATTTCAGCAAAAAATACTAATCATAATTTGGGATTTGGAATTTGGAATTTCAGCATTTGGAATTTCGGCATTTGGATTTTGAATTTGGGTGGCAGGTATACTACAGTCTGCTACAGATTACTGTGAAAAGTATCATTTTGCTTAGATAATAATCACTTTTCCTAGTGAAAGACTACCTACTAAAATGAAAGTACAAATGTTTTGAACTGTCATCACTTTCACAGTGGTCAAGAAGCTAAGCAAGACCAGAATTGAATTTTTTTGTCATTTTTGTTCTTTTTTTTTCTTTTTTTTCTTTCTTTTTCTTCTTTCATCATATAATCAATTAACAAATTAATTTATATTTTTAGAATAAAATTAGAATAGATATAAAAATAGCTTTAATTTTTTTCTTCATGTAATAAGAATACCATTAATAAAATTGTCTTTATATACTTTGATTAATCCTTTAGATAGTTTTT